GAGTTAAAGGTCCACACTTTAAATAGCTCATCACCAACAGGGATGATCAAGCACCATAAATTACTTGCATAACAAGATTTGTGGCACAAAATGAGAAAAGCAACTTCTCTTAAACTGGAATGGCTAAATGTATCTGCCTTTCCGGGGAGTTGTAAATGACATTCAAGTAATATTGCTAACTATACTATAAGGAATATATCCCATAGAACCCTTAAGTATAGTTAGGTAAAGCTTCCCCTTGCACATATTTGCTAGTCATTCCCAACTCTAGGAATGGTGCTCATTTCCATTTCAAAGCCAAAGAGCCAGCACTGTCCGAAGATGTCTCTGTGGTTATGTGGCCAGCATGACTAAATGCCGAAGGTGCACAGAGCGCTGTTACCTTCCCACTGAAAGTGGTTCCTATTTTTCTACTTGCATTTTTACATACTTTCAAATTGCTAGGTTGGCGGAAGCTGGGACAAGTAACAGGAGCTCACTCACTAGGGATTCAAACTGCCGAACTGCCGACCTTTCTGATCGACAAGCTCAACATCTTAGCCACTGAGCTGGCGTGTCCCTAAGTATAGCTAGGAAGGTATTTTCATGCCTCAGTGGCAGTGACAGGAACCATCAGAAAAGGAGAAAAAGATGATTTCCTTCAAATATATGCCATATAAGTGCCACATACATTTTACAGATATGCCTTTTCTCACTTTAGGCGTGAAAGCTGGCTGGGTGACCTTGGACTAGTTGCTGTTTGTCAGTCCAACCCACCTCGCAGATTGTTGTTGTGGGGAAAATAGGAGGAAGAAGGAACATTCGGTTTGCTCACTGCTTTGGGTTATAAAAATAATAAAGGTGGGGTAAAAAAGAAACTCATCTAAAAAACTATTCAAAGAAAAGATGCCCCCCTCCGCTTGCTATGTTCAATTGTCTGGGGTTGAAGAAAATCAGTTACTTTTCATTTAGCTGGTTACTACTAAGCACTTTATTTTAATTGGAATTGGAGTGTTTGAGGGAGAATACAATGTTTCAGAAAATTACTCAAAATGAAAGAAAGTATTTCTTTGAAAACCATTACGTGCAATTAATAAGTCAATACATTTCTCAGGAAATGAACTCAGCTTTTATTATTAGAAATTGCCATCAATTACTAAATATTGCTGTACAAATTACTATAGTTGTGAATGAACAAATTAAAATTATTGGCTGGATATGAATAAAACCAGTTATGGATTTAAGTGGTAGAAAAATGGTTAATAAATTCTTTGTCCTGGGGTCGCTTATTAGTGAGAAATTTGCTATTTGGTGATGCATTTCCTCCTACCAGAACATTGCTTTCATGTGGAAAAGGATAAAAACATATTTTTATATAGAAAAAAAAAGAGAGCAGTTAATGAATTAAAACAAAAGGCAGCTACGAGTTCATGGAATTTGGATCCATCTTGTCCTTTTTCATTCTGTTTGTCAAACACTCTTGCATGCCTGAAAATTTATACTGAAAAGACAGATGTCCTTTAGTTTTGGTGATAACAAGAACATATTTAGTCCTGGTGATTATAAAGACATATTTCCTTTGGCAGCAATGCAATTCTTTGACACTGCCTTCTTCACATTTGTCATTTTCTTCTTCTGGGGTATTTTATTGATTTCTCCCTCTAGCCTACAGATAATGGAATTTCCTGGTTGTGTCCTATTCGAATACTGACCATCTCCAACCCTGTTTAGCCTTTGCAAGCTTAGCCAAGGGTGGCTTCATACTGCCACCTACTGTGAATTGATTACACTCCATAGTTATTTAATTAAAATGTGGCAGGTCGGAGTGCTAGTGTTGTTGGAAGGAGGATTCAGCAGAAACTTTATATTGGAGAAAAGCAAAACGTTCCATTTCATACCCATTTTTTTCAGCATCTGAAAGACCCACCGGAACATAAGAACGCAGAAATGCAATTATTCCGGGCATGAAATACACATATAATTCAACAAACGTCTCACTTTAATCTCTAAACATCAAACAGAGTCTGTTTCTTATTTGCTATGTATATCAACACTGGAGGCCCATAGCAAATCAATGGTCCCCCTGGATCACACAATATTGGCTTTTATGTGAACCCCACTCCATATTTTTGAAATATTCTGATGCAGATCCTGCCCCCTTTCCCCATTAATTAAGACAATATGTTTTGTTTGCCATTCAGAACAGTGTATTTTTTTGTCCCAGCAAGACACTGTGCCAACACTGCAGAATGTAAGTTACACTGAAATTCCCTAGTGAGGAAAGATTTGGTTCAACAGAAGAGAAGATTAGATTTATGTCTGTAATGATAATTCATAAGCAAAAGTTCAGAACAGTTTTAAAAGGGATTTTATGGACTTCTGATCAACCTGACAAAAAGCCATTAGATCACAGTAAATTCCTGCGAGACACTAGCTCAGCTCAGAAATAATCACATTTCCATCTTTATGCTTTTCAAGACAGGATTGTCAGTAGAATGTAACAGTGTATGCTCCCAAATTAAGATTATATTGAATGGAACCTTTTGGGAGACCTTTATTTATGTGTTATTCATTTGCTCAGGGATTTTACATGTACATTTCTCTCTTAGCTGCTTTGCTGCAATAGCTTTTAGGTAACTCACTGTTCCTACATTAATGTGTAGATTTAATATCATTTTTACTGCACTGATTCGTTTATAGGACTATATGAGAAAACCATGGTTTGCCTCAATGTGGTGCTTCGATAAAGGAAATTGACACTATTTGCATTGTTGATGCTCAGAGATGATGCAATTGGCCACAACAAGAGATTTGGTGAAACTTCACAGGGATCTTCTGACATTAGCCAAAAAATGGTGTCTATGCATGCAACTTCATTTTACTCTTTGTAGCAGGGATTTTTTGTGAAAGAACTTTGAAGGGGCTTAATTAAAACTAATTATCCTTTAATAGCTTAATTGCTTTTGTCTTTATTTAGTTTATCTATGAGAGCATTGGAGATAGCTCTCTGGATGAAGACTTGTTTCCAATGAACAGGCTTAAAAACCATGTCATAGCATACTATAGATTTTCCTCTCCTCTCCTGTCTCCCCTCCCATCCCCTTCTCTTCCCTCCCTTCCCTCTCCTCTCTTCTCCCCTCCCTTCTCCTTGGTGAGCAAAAATATGAACAACTACATTCAATAATGCACATACCTAGACCAGCTTTTTTTCAATCTTAGCAACCTCAAGACATTTAGACTTCAATTTTCATTCTCATGCTGGCTGAGGAATTCTGGGAGTTGAAGTCCACATATCTTAAAGTTACCAAGGTTGAGACACAGTGCTCTAGATATTTTCATAAAAGCTTTCCAAAATTGAGGCACCATAATTAAAAATTGTTATGAAGCCTGACCTCATCATGTTTATTTTGGCACCAGAATGGTTGTGTGACTCTATGTCACGAGTGGAGAAATGACAATATAGAATGGGAAAAGAATTCTGTGGTAAATAGTTGAAATAATGTAAGATTGAGGAACCTTCAAAAGAAAGAGAAGAGCTCAGGGTTTTAACTCAAGAAGGCATCCTGATGATAAAGTGCCATTGCAACTAGAAGCATGTTGTTGCAACCAATTACAATATACCTCAGTAATAACCTTGAGTAAGCAATGCTATTTTGAAGGCAGTCATGAGGAGAGGAAAAATATAACTTCTAGCTGGGTTAAAGCCGTGCTCACTGCTAGAACAATACAATACAAAATATTTGAGATCTGGAAAACAGAAACAAGAATGAAAGAGGGCATATCTAATAGGTATCAGCATGGGGAAGATATTGGGCAATGCCACTGGAAGCTCTTGAAACTTACGAGTTCTTATTTGCTTTTCATTTTCACTTCCTCTCTCCTCAATTTTTGTCTTGTGTGGCATAAAGAGAGGATTTTATCCCTCTACTTCCAGAAGTATATCTCTCTATCTTTAGATTTCGAGAGTTGCCTAATCTAAATCAGCCCAAATCAACTTGATCAAATCAAAAGGATTTAGAGGAGTTGGAGAGGAAAAGGCTTGATCTCTGGATATGCTATAAAAGTAGAGGAGTCAAGGAAATAACAGGGTCAGAGAAGACCTCTTCCCTTTCACAATTATCATCACCAAGTGATATAACTTGAGGTTTACAGACGCTTGCAAACCCTGAACTGTTTTACATACAGACAAAACTTTAGTCTATAGTTAGTTATTAGATTGAATTCTCTGCTAATATGTTTTGTAATTTTGAATCTGAGCTTTTCACCATCTTGTACCCTCCAGATGATTCAAACATAAATAGTAACAAGTATAGCCATGTTGGGCTGGGGAGTGTAGATGTTAAAACACCTCTTGAGAATACAAAAGGGGAAAATTGTCTTAACTATACTCTGTCAACATGGATTGGGGGAATCTTGGATTTAAAGCCGATCACTACAGGAATTCTTCAAATCCTCAAAGAAAATACAGACATAAAACATGGTTGCTTAACAAGATCCAGTGCGGTCTTGCATATAACAAAAGAATCCCATGTCAAAAATATTTATATGCCGAGGTTGGGAACTTTAAAGTCTTCATGACAGAACTAAAAAGTTTAGTATTAGAAGAGTATAGATGGGGAGTATTTCAGAAACTTGAAGAAGCAAGACAGTAACATTTTATTATTCACAGTTACAACATCTATATCAGCATGGGGGAGGACATGGTTTATTTCTGTTATTTCTATTTTGCTTTTCAACAATGATTTATAACAAGGTATATTACCATACAATCATAAAGCACACTGCATATAAATAAAACAAGAACAAAACAAAGTGGCTCGAGTAACAATACTATTCCAAACTCTCCAGTTATAATGTTAAGTACTGGGCTTTATATTTAGGACAAAGGCACTGGGGAAAAAAATCTCAGTAATTTCTAAAGCCAAAATTCTATACCTTAAAGAAATATCTCCTTTTCCAGTAATATCAAATAAGCCAAAATACCTCAATGTAGAAGAGAGGAAAAAAAGATTCGTATTTACCTTTGCTGCAATTCTTCATTGCAAATGAATCAACAGCAGCTACACTCCTGTTTCCATTAGCAGTATACTCCAAGGAGATCCGAAAAGGTTTTTCTAGATATCCAACCCTTTGTTGAAGAAGCACCCATCTGTTTTCATGACACAACAAGAAGAAAGAAGACAGGGCAAACATGGTAAGGAAATGTATAGTGGAAAAAGCATATTTGCAGAAGTAGCTGTTCCCCAGCTGCCCAATCACATACTCCATCAAGGTCTCATTTCTACTGAATTCCCTTAAAAAAGAACCCTAGTTTCTTTGAGGCTTTTTGTAAGAGAGAAAAACAGAATAAAGTTTTGTGAGGATTTGAGATATTACCAAGAATGGATTCTACCAGCTACTGACACTTTTATCACAAGGTCTATCACACTACTATAATTCAAAATATATTGCAGGCTTCGTTTTGCACCTTAAAATCAGCAGAACTTTGTCTGTCTGTCTGCAGCTTCCTCATGAATGGAACTATGAACTGTAGAACACCGGAGAATGCTTGAAATTTCTCTTGCACTACTTACTAGGATTTGAGCAGCAAACAAATTTTATAAGTCATGCTTGGTCGCAGAGTCAGTCAGATGTTTAGACAGGATCTGGCATTTTTGCCTATTGAGTCCTTCTCAAAGACTGTGATAGGTAGATGTTGTTGTTTAATTATATTAAATATAATTTTGCAGGATGTAGGCTGTCCCAAGTAAGCTGCCTTTTGCAATTGACCAACAGTGAATTTGTCAATGCCAATTGTGCCCAAACATTTTGGGATTACAGCCAAGTTTCCTATTATTATTGATACTACCTTTGCTTTTTTTTGCAACATTTGTTCTACTTCCATTTGCAGGTCTTTGTATTTTCTTTCTCTTCTATTTATTGTCCCCAGGTATTGCACTGCTCACTAGCCAAACCTTTTTTGTTTTTCTTACCAACAATTGTTAAACAAGAGGTATTATGTGTCAGATGCTTGTCTGTTTGAATTCTAAAGTCCCAGAGCAGTTTACCTTCTTCATTTTCTACCACTTTGTTTCATGGTCCCATGAGTAATTCCCAACCTTACACCTCTATAGTGTTTTTCTCACTCAGACAAATAGCCTCTTATTCCAACCACTGCTATTATCTTTAAAATTAAAATTATGGTAGCCATTGCAGGTCAAACTTATAAACCTGAAGAACAAGATCCATGAACAAAGTAATAATAATGTAAGCTAAATATACCAGAGAAAAAGTTCATCTATTAGTTTCAGTGAAATAAGATAAACATCGGCATGTTCAACAAACTGGTGGAAGTCACTATTATTTTTCTTCATGTCTGTATTTCCAGAGCACAGTGGCCTATTCAGCTGCTATCCCACAGTATCCACTTGTATGCTGTCAATGCATAATCATGAGTATCTGGCCAAATGGAAAGAAACAGTTCTTGAAAGATTTCCAGCAATCACAAGTGTCACTAAATGGATGTAATGTCTTTCATTTCCTCCCATTTTTTACTCCCCATTTAAAAAAATGCTATGATGAGTTAATCAGTTTGATGCATAACAGACTATATAGATACATGGGTTTGAAAAGCAAAACGAGCAATAAGAGAGAATTCCTAGACTAACTCTATTTTGTGGGGCCACTAAGACTTTCTGTGCTAGCAGTGGGAAGAAAGAGTTAATGCTCCATTAATCTTTTCTTTCTCTTTCTTCTCTTTTGAGGAAGTTTATTTCACTCAACCTAATTCTAGTACTAAGAAATTATAGGACTAAAACCTAACTCTTCTTTATTAATTACATATATAATGAAGGGCTGGAGATTTTCTTAGTGAGAAAATTTAGAAAGGTTTGGACCACAGAGAGAAAAAAATATGAATAATTAAAAACAGAAGTAGCACAATGGTTCTCTCTATAGTTACTATCCAGAGATAAGTACTACACTGCTTCTGTTTCTAATTTTGTCATTTTTGGCTCCAATATTGGCAGAGTTGTCACCATCCATAAAGGGAGACACAGTGCCATAATCAACTTCTTTTCTGCTTCAGTGCCTTGAATATGCTTCTTCCAAGTTCACGGTTTACAGAATTCCAGAACTACAACCCAGCATCTGCTTTGCTTAGCATTTTGCTCTATTTGGCAATATGCAGGCTGGAGAGTTACTTAAGAATCAATGAGAGACAACTGAAAGTAGAAAGTTCTGGAGTTGTTTTTCCCTTCCTCCCAGGATCTATTCTTTGAGATCATTACTTTTGTTTCATGGATTCCTTTGGGTCACCAAATTGAGAAAACTTCATAAAAACAAATAATAAGTTTTCTTGCTTGAGTTATTGCAGTTGCTCATCTGTAAACAACAAAACAATAAAAAGCAGGGCTAGAAAAATTTGCAGAATAACTCCAGCTGTAATATTAATGCATTGCTTTCCCTTGTTTCTTTTCAAGCAATCAGAATAAGGCACCTGTCATTTCAATAACATAGTAATAAATATTACTACTACTTTACAGAAAAGGTTGAAACTGTGTTTTTAAAGGCTAGCTTAGACTCTCTCTCTCTCTCTCTCTCTCCCCCTCCCTCCCTCCCTCCCTCTGCCCTCTCTCTTTCTCTCTGTAAATTAAAAGATATATGAGGCCAATGCTTATCCTTGAAATAATCTACTGCATGTTTTCTCAAAAAAATATTGATGAAGTGCTTTATTATAAATGCAGAAAAATCTGCTTTTTTGGTTAGAATACTGCTCAAATTAGTTGACTTTTGGATTGAAGTGCTAAGCTTTTATTATTGTTGTTGTTAGTTTGTGATAATTGCTTTTATTGTTCTTTTTAGTCTTACTAGATGCAGGATCTACTTGTTTTGTTTGCTTAGTTTGCACAATGCATAAAACAACAAAGGAGTATATTTTGCATTTGGCTTGTTGCAGAGCCTGCTACTGATTAGGGTGGAGAAGAAGTGATTGGTCAAGACTGCCAAGCTGGCATCCATGCCTAAGGGAGGGCTAGAATCTAGAGCTCCCCATTCTACTCCAGCACCTTAACCACTATACGATACTGGTTCTGTTTATGGTTAATATTTTTTAATGTTTTCTCCTCAAGCTGATGCCTTCTAGTTGTACTGGACTTCATCTCACCTGATTCTGAATTAAAATGGGCCTGACTGGGTAAACTGCAGTCCAAAATACAAATGTCATTTATGAGTTCCATACAATTTTCCAAAACACTCAACCCATCATAAACAAATGCTAAAGATGCTCTGGAAAATAATATCAGGTATGTAGAGGAATTAAAGAAAGTACAAATTAATTTTTTTAAATGTGATTTTTAAAATATTTAGAAATATTAACTAGGTGAATTTGAAAGGTGTTGAATCTGCAGTGAAAAATGAAAGCAGGGATCATGGCCATGCCTGTATCAAACTGGGAAAGGTGGTAATTTATATGAGGAAGAACTGTGGGAGATGTTTAAAAATCAGGATGGCAGGCACAATCATGTAGTTGAAGTCCTGGTCCTTTTCTACGTTTCACAGTTCAGTTGTGTGGTTCTAGAAGTTTTCTTGACTTTTTGACCCTCTCCCTATGGACTCCCTGGATTTATTTGCAATATCAAAATAGTTTTGTTTTGTATATGATAATTGCAGCAACACATATATGGGCAGCAGTGGAAAGATATACATTTCCATAAATGAATACTGGATAGTGAAATTAATGAAACTAGCAGAGATAGCAAAATTGACTACTTTGATGAAAGCCCAAAGATAAATGTTTATTTGACTTTGTTTCTATATGGAGACCATATGTGGACTTCTTAATTGAGAAAGATAAAAATGTAGTTTCAGTTTTAGGGTTTGATAATTAGGTTTCTAATTTGTTATCATGATAAAATATTGCATTTATATAAAATATTGTGTGTATGTATATATGTATTCTATTACATATTTGTATATAATATTACATATCTGTACTGAAGAAAGTTGGAAGTCATTTTTTTTGCATTTTGTTCTGTCACTTTTTAACTTCTTCCTTTTTTGATCCCTCTTCCCCTTTTTAAATCTTTTATAGTTTCCTTATTTGTATTTTCTTTCTTTGAAGCTTAATAAAGTTGGTTAAAAAAAACCAAGTAAGGAAATAAACAAAGTAGGAAATAATTCCCAGTTTTACAAGGTGAGTGCCACTGTCTTTCTCTCTGTGGGTAAAAATAAGAATGTGATTTAAGGGTCAAAGTGACAGGAGCATCAGACTTATCCAAATATTACCTTTGGCTAAATCTCTTTAAAATCTGACAACAAAAGTATCTTGATTTGCCACCTGGAAATCCTAATATAGAATTATTCTTTCAGAAGTAGGGACAGAGTTAGTTTTAGAGATGATTTATAGTGAAATCCTGGAGCATCTGTGTGTCATGCAAAACATCCTTTACCCTTTCCAAGACAGATGGATTTTAATTCCAGGTACATGGTGGCCCTCAACAATAATTTCTATTTCTTTGCTGCCACTAACCCCCTGGCTAAATATGTCAAGAGTTTTAGAAATTGTTTTTCCTGAGTTACTGGTGCAATAAACTTTACTTTTAAATTTTTTAGACACCCATAGTTTACCATTACTATATTAAACTTACAGAGGTAATACCAGGCAGGTATTTTATGCTGCTGAAATTCATGGCAGTAAAAGGCTCAGTGGGAGCCAGATTCATTTTTTTTTAAAAGGCAGAACATGTGCCTTCAGAAGCGACTGATCCTCACACAAAGAATATATGCTCTGAGGCCAATTTCTACAAAAGCAGATGCCCGCCTCTCTGACAAAGTCCCCAAAGAAAAAAATAAACCACTAATTGCCATGTTTTTCTATAGTTCTTTTGGAAGAAATGCCATAGAGTAAGGGCCTTGTGGAGTACACATTTTGTTCAGTCCCTGAGATGGGAGAATTGTTAAGATGCACTGCTTGAAGTTTCACAGAGAAAAGGTTATTCATGTGCCTTCTGTTTGTCTGTCTTTCTCTCTTACACACAGTTTTATCTTACAATTATGAAAACCTGATCACAGATTATTCCTCTAATATTTCTTTGCAAGTTTGAACCTTGGTTTATACCCATTCTTCACATAAATAGAAACCTAGCTGGTATTCCCAAATGCTTTCCTCAA